GTGTGTGTGTGTGTGTGTGTGTGTGTGTACAGTCACCACTAATAATTGGTCACCCAGCGCACTCAAATAAATACATAGGCACTTAGGTAGGTAACAGCAAATGATGAAGCTAGTGTTCCATAATTTATTTCATGACTGTTAAACTGTGGGTTGTATGGCAATTGGGTGAATTGAACCTAATAAATGATGTTTTAAGAGTCTTGAAAAAGAAAATACTTAATGGTCTTTTTACATATTTCCATTTTGAAAAAGGGGCCTCCATTGTGTATTATTTATCAAAATGATAATTAATAAACTTTGTTTGTATTGATATTATCGACGTTTTGTTAAATGCATTAATTTAAGCACCCTGAGTGGTCTTAGTAGACGGAACCAGGTCACGAGGCAGATTACTTATGCGCTGGACTGATGAAGTCAAATCGGCAACACGAAACTCAGTGTCAGACTGCGCCAGGAAACAGAGAGAGATGGCGGGAGATCGTGAGGTAAGCTGTATCGGCCTCCAACACAAATACGGCCGCCTCACCGTGACCACGACCGCTCTGCCAAGAGCGAAACGACAGAGAAGACGAAGAGTGGTTTTAAATATTTGAGCTGCCTCTATATGGTTTGGTCATATATTTTTTACAACAGATATTGTTGATCTACTAAATATAGAGATGTATTAGTCAGAGCACACTGTGTTCCAAAAGTTTCAACTTTTTTCCCTTTTAACTTAACTATTACAAAACGATGCGGCATAGTATTACGGGGGGAAGGGGAGGGGGCGGCGAGGTTACCGGCCGAGGCTCTCGCCTATTTTTGGCCGTGAATATTTTAGTATGACAAGAATGCTTGAAACACTAAACCTCAACAGCCGAGGTTTGGTGTTGCAAACTCCGTGTTTAGGATATTACTGTTTGGTTGCACATTGTACACATTTATGAAATCAAAGTGGGACAGCAGCTAGACCACTATGCGCTGATGGCGTATTTATTTAAGTCGTCTTAACTCAAAATAAGCAGAATTTAAAATACGGTTTCATTATTACGTATGACTATTTATGAGGTCAAAGAAGTTTCATCATACTGAACAAAATTTTTTATAATAAATGTCGTGAGATATCCTGAATTGATTAAAAATTACGAGTTACTAACGTAAATACACTGAGAAAAGCTCTACTAGTTTCGAGTAACAGAGGGACTCTTCCTCATGAGCGCAGCGTGCGCGGTCGCGGCGATGTCGCGTAAAGTGAGTAACTCGTAATTTTTATTTAACACTGAATGAAACACGTTTTTTCTCCTGCAAAGTATTTGGGCAAAGCATCCAATTATTTATAAATGCAACGAATATAGTCGTATATAAATACGACCTGAAACTGCAAAAATGGAAGGTACATTTGTCGGATATCAAATGAAAAGTCATAAGTAGATTTGATTGGGAATATAGAGCTCGCCTCTTAACATATTTTTTTTTATGTATTATTGGTGAAAAAGTATTTTATGGGATGAAATTGTTCATAGGTGCGCGTTTATCTTCCGGCAACCGTCCCGGTCGGCCGTGTCGAACGTGTTCCTGGCGCCGTTCAGCGCCGGCGTGTGGGGCGCCAGCGCCTGCGTGGCTGCGAGCGCCGCGCTGCTATTGGTGGCGCTGCGTCGCCTGCGTCAGCACACGCGCGTCTCGACAGACCTGCAGCTGTTCACGCTGCTCGAGGCAGTCACGTTTGTACTTGGTTCCCTGTGCCAGCAAGGTGGTTACAGACAGACACTATTACATGTTACTACCACATCGTTAGTAATTTAGTGGGTACTTATCAGGGATGATTGGGATATGAAATTTCGGATACGGATTGGATACGGATATAGAAATGATTATTATACTGGATACGGTTACGGATACGGATATGAAATTATTTCGGATTATCCGTTAATTTAAAAAGAATTTCAAAAGTAAAATACAAATAGCTAATACCTATAATGGTTTCATTTATACGTCACAACCTATCCGATAGTATCCGAAACTTTTATTTAGGATTCGGTTACGGTTACCGATATTTTTTTATATCAGATATCCGATAGTTTCGGTTACGTTTACGGATCTCCCTAACATCCCTGGTACTTATAATATTTACTATCTAGAGAGCGGAGAGAGGTACATCGCCAATTATATTATCACTTTACAATCGTTAAAACATTTAATGTAGCTGACTTTGTCGTAAGTTAGGTATATTATTAAGTTAAGCTAATTTTTAAATTTCGAAATAACAGGAGCTGGACTCGAACCTACAGCAGTTATCATGTCACTTACTTATTTTTTTTAAGCATGTACCTAACAGACAGTGTGGTGCCATCTACTGCTATATTCTGTGCAATTTTATTCTAATTCTGTTAATATAACTAATAATTATGTTTGTCACAGGGTTCCATAGGACGCCACCGGTGACATCAGTGCGAGTAGTAATGTTCAGCACGCTGCTGACGTCACTGTTCGTGTTCACGGCGTACTCTGCCAAAATCGTGGCCATCCTGCAGACTCCCAGCACCGCGCTGCAGACTATCGACGACCTGGTGCGCTCGCCCATGACCATCGGCGTCCAGGACACCACTTACAAGACGGTTTATTTTCTCGTGAGTATTGGCTTTCAGGAACTCAGGATCTAAATCAGCGGGTCCGCAGTTCCGCACACATCGCTGTCGGTGTAGTTTCTCTCATTAGACCCAGTATCCAGGTATTCTTCGTTTACTTTTGGTCGAGTTGATAATGAGTACCTACTGATATACAAACCGGTTTAGTGATAAGCAGAGTTAGCCATTATGAATAATATACTACACATAAGTGCTTTCAAACTACTCAAGTAGTTAAGCACTTAATTAATTTTATCGTTTTATTATGATTTAACTATGTCTGACTCCAGGAGAGTCCGGAGAAGTCGACGCAGCAGCTGTATCGGCACAAGATCCTGCCGCAGGGCGAGCGCGCATACCACAGCGTCGTGGACGGCATAGCGCGCGTGCGCACTGGGTTCTTCGCCTTCCAGGCCAGTTCCATACTAGGATGTTATTTGAACAATCTCAGCTACATAACTATTAATATCCTTTAAGTACTTAGAGTAGGTACATTGGATCCATTTGTCGACCGTCTGTTTGAAAAGACCCTTTATCTTTGAAATATGTAACCATAAACGAAGATGGCTAATAAATTATGTAACAATAACGTGAACGTGCAGGTGGAGAAGAGTTCTGGTTACGATATAATAAAGCAGACGTTCACGGAGCGTGAGAAGTGCAGCCTCAGTGAGATCGAGGCGTTCAAGCCGCCGCTGGTGGCCGTGCCCATGAAGAAACATTCCGGCTATAGGGAACTGTTCGCTAGCAGGTTACTTCATTGGAATTACTTTCCCTTTCCATTATACAACATGTAACGTAATTAACGCACACCCTCAAACACCCCAATTAGAATATTATGTTATAATCATAATACATACACTAAATTTTTAATTTAACATGTATATGCATCCTTACTGGTCTTGTCATAAGGTTTATTTTTCTTTATTTTGTATTGAATGATAGAATTTGTATGAATACAAATAAAACTGCGATTTTAAAACTCTTATTGCTTTGACTTAGGGTCCATTTCGATTTGTTTTAACAATACAGGGTTAATATGACAAATATTTCCGTAGTTTTAATTATTTTTGGGATAAAAAATTACCTATACTAAAAATTATATAAATCGATTCAGTTAACGATTCTGAACAAACTATTTTCAGGATGTGCGTTATTTAAGTTACATGTTGTATATATGCACATTATACGTGCGCCCAGTAATATACCCAGGTTATACCGGGTATAAGGTGAAAAGAATAAATAAGCGCAAAAAATTGGTTGTTTTTTCAACTTGAGTCAGGTTATCAGGTATATAGAACTATGAAAACAATATTTTTAGTGAATAATTTCAGAACTCGAATCCGCTGTCTAAGATTATCCCACGTTTATCATATTATGTCGTGAGTCGCGGAGAACCATTTGAGTCGCGGAGAACCTAACGGGTAACCGGGGCTCCGGCTTGACGTGCAGGAGAAGGAACGGGGTTGTTTTTAGTCAGTAAGAGTTTGACACTCCCTCCCGCCTCAAAAAAAAAAAAAAAATCATTCAATGATTTTACCCTTAAAAAAAAAAAAAAACATATGTCACTTGTTTCGACATTTTTAACGTGTAACCGGGGTGTGGTGCCATCTATTGGTCGGGTTTGACGAACAATTTAATACTAAAAATACATAATTAGTCCGTATATTGTGATATTGTTGTATATTGATCACAATTAATGTTTTACGTAAATTATGGTAGACGTAGATGTGTAAGCAGTGTAAATTTCGTAATGCGTTGTTCAGACTGCGTTGGCAGCGCGAGGTGGGCCTGATGGACCGCGCGCGACACATGTGGCTGGTGTCGCGGCCGCGGTGCGAGGCGGCCGGCACCGGCTTCGTCAGCATCGGACTCATCGACGTGCTGCCCGCGCTGCAGGTACAGGCTACCAGCTGAGATTGCTCTGCCTAACTAAGCTTAGTTCATTTTGTGATGTTGCCTTGTAGGGCGATTAGTCGAGTGAATCTTAAGCAAGCAATATTTTTATTACAAAATTCTCAGTAATAATTAAAGGATTTTGAATTGCACGCATTGTCTATCACATCAATCATTTTCAAGATGAGCGTTTAGAATTTGCAGTAGGTACATAACATACCGTATAATAATATATATATATACTTACGTACGTACCTACTATGTATAAATGTATGTGAAGCGCCTACTGTATATATGAGAGCAGGTGTTGGCGCTGGGCGCGATAATGTCGGTGGTGCTGCTGGCGGGGGAGCGCGGCGCGCGCATGCTGCAGCGACAGACCGCGCACTCCACGCCGGCGTCCTACTAACTGGGAGTACTGGACCTCAACTATATTGTACACTAGCCACGTAAGTTTTACACAATGCTTACATCAGTGGGTGTAAAATCAAATCCAACAAAATTTAATGACAAAATTTATTAATACGTAGCACTGATATTTACAGAAAATATGCACTAATTACACACGCGCATTCAACGTGAGTGCATGAAACTATGGACACAGCGTCCTCCACGAACAATAGAACAGAGTGCTATAGTCAACCACGAGCACGAGCGCTAGGTGAGCTGCAGTAATAGCGGCGCTAGGAGAGCTGCTCGAGCCGGTGGGCGCTAGGAGAAGTACACGAGCACCATGAGCATGTGATCTAGGTGACGGTGCTAGGTGACGGCGCTAGGTGACGGCGCTAGGACAGCTGTACGATGATGAGTATGAGCAGCACGAGCAGTATGATGGCGGACAGCGCGCGGTCCAGCAGCACGGCCGCCGCCGCCCACGTGCCGCTCTCCGATGACATGCACGACTCCTGCACAGATCACACAAACAATCAACACATTAATCAATAAAAACGTATCACATATTCAGCATAGACTTTTATTAATCTGTCTCTCAGAATCCGTATCAAGAGCTGTACTGACGTGACATGCACATTGTCACGTCATAATGTCACTTACATATACGCTGCTCTCAGTGGCGAGCGAGCACAACAAGTATGGAATGGTTTGGTTTGGTTAAGTAACTTGCAGTCGTCCACCACTCGTTATACATGTATGTGTAGGTACGACGTACGATATAAGGTAGGTACACTAAATCCTAGTAGAATGTGTAGCCAATCCAAACTACAAATTGAGTTAGTTAAAATAAACAGAACGTTGTATCGAAGGTCGAAGGACAATTTTTAGACACTATTTAATTAGATTCTTTGAAGACATAAATCGTATTCGTATAAAAAATACAATGATGAAATTCGAAACGAGGGCCACAAAGAGTAACACATGTGACGTATACTAGATGGCGCTAGTTGTCAAATTGAAATCTATATAATCTTTTGTTTGTTTCAATTGATCTCCTCCGAAACTACCGGACTGTTATGAAAAATTATTTTACCGTTACAATCCTACATTATCGATGATGATCATTGTAGGGTATATTTAATAAGAGAAAAAGGGAACCGTGTGACAATTTCGATAATGTAACGGGAATGTGTGGAAAATCTACCAAAAAACTCCTTATATTGCTCCTTATGCCTTTGACTGCCAATAGAAAACTGTTTTCAAGGACTAATAATACATAGTATTTAGCTGCATCAGAATCAGGGATTTTAAAGAAAAAATATGAAATCATGAAATGAATACCTTTTATTCTCTGACTAACTTCTGCCCACGGTTTCGCTCGCGTTCTTTTAAAGTATTGAGGGCAGGTTTACAATTAAGATAAAAAAGAATTAGTGCCCGATGTTTTGCTGGTCACAAAAATATGATACTACTTTTAGGCTTCTTGTAAATTACGAAATGCTCTATACTAACTTCCATCCCCTGTTTTAGGAAAGTGTTGGGTTAGAAAGAAATAAAATGTAGCCTGTGCTACGTTTAACCCTTTCAACTAACTCCACTCAATAAAAAAATCACGTCGATTTCTAACAAAACAAACAGTCGCCAAGCACCACTGCTGCTGGTGCTTGGCGACTGGGCTTCACCCAGTTGTACAGTCTCTTCTTTGTGCCTTTAGGCCTTTCACCAAGGGAAGTGGAAATTATAGTTTTTTTTTCTTCTCCTCTTATAATATTTCGTTGCGGGAAACAAAAAAAAACAGTCACACAAATGTATTATAATAAGTATACATTTTCATGGTATCTGACATATTTTAGACAAGTGAGTTTCATGTTAACGGATCGTTTTTATTATCATCAACATTAAGGTACTCAAAGAGGCTGAATACTAATATTATTTATTACCCATGGAACCTTTTTGATTGAAATTCGGTTCACCGAGAGTTTGAGACACAAACACTAGAAAGAACGTATATGATTGTTCTGTCTCAGAAATGCCACGGGACAGGAACTGCGTTAAGCCTCTGTGTCTCTCTATCTTTAAGCCATTGAACTTATTTGAGTGGAATTCGGTACTACGATAGTTTGAGACTTGGAAAATAACGCATGAGATTTTCAACAACCGTTTTGCCTATTTGATTTCAAACGGAGTTTTAATTACTGAAACCTCACGGGAATGGCATCCATTCTGAAGAAATTTGGTACACAGCATTGGAATTAACCCTGGAAAAGACTAGATAAAAATCCAGATTTCATTGAGAGATTTCAGAAGTCATTTTTATACGCGGGCGAAGTTACGGGTAACAGTTAGATAGTATTATTGTATTTTGCACCAACTACATGGTTGATGCTGTTGCGGGACGAGTGACTGCTACACAACGTATTACGAGTTCCATTCCCGTACAAAACTATATCTAAACTAATATACCTACTTAACACAGAGCCGTATTACTCTTAAGCAAACCAGCCAAGTGCTTACGTCGCCAGGTTACAGTGCCTTTGACTTAAATTCAAGCGCCTACTTATATTGGGCGGCAATCTTTTATTGGGGAGAGGCAGAGAGGTGTCTGGTAAATCTTAAAATGGTAATTACCGAGGAGACTTACCGGTGACGGCGTCAGTTTGCATAGCGTGGAGAGAGACGAGAGCAGCGAGCGCAGCGCATTCGGCGGCGTCAGCGAGCACCGCGCCAGCCGCACCACCAGCGCCGCGCACGCACCGCTCAGCGCGCCGCACACACACTGCGCGCACATCGCTCGCAGCGCGCGCGGCGTGCCCTGCCCGCCCGGCAGGCGCACTAGCGCCGACACCAGCCTGCCGACATACGGCGTACGTTGTCACACACGCAAGTACTGAGTAGACTTCGACAGTAGATCGGCGTGCTGACCAGAGTGCGGCGGTGAAGGAGGCGCAGGCAGCGAGCGGCGCACGTTGCTGCGGGGGCAGCGCGGCCGCCGCGCCCAGCAGCAGCGCGCCGGCCGCCAGCACCGCGCCCGCGCCCAGCGACTGTGCCGCCGCGCGCCGCGACACGCGCACCTTCCACGTCGCCACGCTCACCTCCTCGGGTCCACGCTGCCACGTCGTCGCGTCGCTCGCCACCGACTGCATCTCCCACGCCCCCGTCTCGAACACTACGGCGTGCTGGAAACCAACACTCAACCATCAATAACACAGTCACTAGTTGTCGCACTGACACCAGTACATCACAAACTTTATTTAATAATAATTAATTAATATTAGGTGTTAATGATTCAAATTATAGTTTTGTGGAAGAGAAAGATCTTACTTTAAATTCACTGATATCTAGTATCAACTCCTCATTGTTGTAGGTTCTGGAGCCGAAGGTGAAGCTGCAGGTCTGTGTGTCTCGCGGCCAGTCCGAGAGGTCGAGGTCGAGGGGCGCGGTGACGTCGAGGTGCGTGAGCCAGGACACGGCGCCGGTGGAGGTGAGGCGCGCGCGCGTGGCGGCGTCCCCCACCCTGGAGGCGGCCGCGTTGAGCAGCACCACGTCGGGCAGCCACAGCCGCTCCGCTGACGTCAGCACGCTGCCGCAGCCCCACTCCGACGCGTTCCACCGCACACGCGGCTCCTGCCACGACTGCAACACCACACCCGTACCACGGCTTACTCACAGAGACATGTACATAATGTATCAGATGTATTTAGATACATAGTCCAAATGTCGAACACAATGGCTCATCCGTTGAACGGGAAATGATAAACGGGTGTAGGCGTATCTCCCTAACAAAGTCAGCTTGCACTAAAATACCGTTACTTTATTTTGCACATATATTGCAATTGTTTGTGCACTATTTCTGTGTAGTCTGCAGTGTCTCACTGAACTTATTATGAATGAGTGAATGTTTCCCTTCACTTGGTCATTTGTGGAACTAGCACAATATGTAAGACTCGTTAGAGAGATATCATTAGTGATTAATAAGGAATTGTGTGTAGCAGTCACCATCTTGAGGTCAGCGAGCAGGCGCATGACGGCGCGGTTGTCGTCGACGGTGGCGTGGCGCACGTCCAGCGCCAGCGAGACGCGCAGGATGGCGGCGGGCGGCGCCTCGCGCTCATACTCCGCCAGCAGCGTGTCCAGCTGCACCGACAGCTGCGTCGCGTTGCCGCAGTCGCCTCGCACGCGCGCCGCTCCTGCGCACACTCCACACGTTACCACTGCGCACTGACGCGCAACACACCAACAAAAACTAACCTTGACATCAGTGGCGTAGCGTAGCTTGACGGGGCCTTGATTTGTTTGGGGCCCTGATGAAAGGTAAAAATTTCTTCGAAGAATTTTTTTACATAAAATATGTACCTCCTCTGCTCAAATTATCGGATAATGATTAGGTACTCTAGTTTTTCCAAAATTTCTGCCATGGATAGATTTCTCTATTCCACGGTTTCTGCCAACCTTTAAATGCATGTATTTTGTGATTACTAAAATAAAATATAAATTGAAAAGTTTTTATATTTTTGCTTACACACGTTGGGGGCCCCGTGGTCCGGGGGCCCCATATAATTGATACGGCAGATACGGCGCTAGCTAGCCCCTGCTTGACATGGTCTATGAAACATGCTAACTTTAAGATTGTATGGATGTAAGTTTTAACATTAAATGGGGGTTGGTTACGATGTGTAAATATTAGAGAAAAGATTACCATATATGCAAAGCAGCAGTGAGGCGAGCAGTCCTGTCCAGTGCGGCGCCATGTTGACAACTCGAGTTGTGCACAGTGTGTGGAGCTGTGCGGGGTCGCACCCGTCGCACCCGTGCGCAGGGATCGCAAACTTTTGGTGTAACACACGCTCAAACTGCATAATTATTGATTTTATCTTGAAACTAAATTTTATTACATTTGCTTCGGTCGATGTGCAGTGAAATGTCGTGCCTGGTGTCCGAGTAGGTATGTCACGTAACGCGACAATAAAGTTTTAAAGTCCAATCGCTTGCAGTTATTGAACCTTGTCAGAGTTTGTGTTTCCTATAACTGAGCGTCATCAGAGTCCGAGTGAATAGTCACTTGTTTCACTTGTTTCACATCGCTTACCGCCAGGCGAGATAGTAACTTAGTGACGAGTAAAGTGCTTTTTTCACAAAATATATCATAAGAAACTGATCCAATAGTTGAGTGCCCCTGCGGGTGGCGCTGCGCGTGGGCACGCTATCGGCGCAGTATCCGCCCTCGCAAGGACAGCACGCTACGTTGGGCTTTATGCAGTAGCTTTATTATTGTAAATGTTACCAATTCCCACATTCCACTTATCCATAATCACATCCATATTTATCACTCAATTAAAAAATTGCAGGAATATATTTGTCTATTACGTCCATACTAGCTCAAGATGGCTTTGGGAGCCATAGCCTTAAGAGACCATTGTACCCCTGTAGTCATGTAGGTACCGTGTGTTCTGGTATTCCTATGATCATCCAATATAATCTGTCCGTTATTGTAGGTGTGTGGGTATTGGACATTAACTATACCCATCATGTGTTACGTGCGTGATTGTATTGTATTTATAAATAACAAGCTAAAGTAGGAAGCTAGTGGACCGAGAGCATTAGCTCTGTATCGACAGATAACACACATCCCTTCACATTGAACCAGGAACCGTGTGTCAAAGGACATAAATAAATAAAACATTGACAATGTTCAGAAATTTATTATTATTGTCAACTATATACAATTGACAAGGAACCGTTGCGATTATTATTTGAATTGTTACATTTTTATGAATCTAATGTGTCTTCTGATATTGTCAATCAAACAATAAATCGTCAAGTTTGGAGTTCTATGCGGACCTTAATACAGTATATCAATAATGTATTGTATGTACTGTTACTGGTTTAAATGTAACATAACAACTGAACAGTAGAAGATACGCAATAACAAAGATACGAAACAAAACTATGTCGGCGTCAGTGCGGCCATCATTACCTGGACTTATAGATTACAAGAAAACATTATATTTAAGATATACCTCTATAGCCGTGTCCACCAACCATCCCGAAACCTTCCCTTAAGTAAAAGTTACTTAGAGTGACGTAGCACCTTAGCTAACCCCTTACTTGTATTGTTAGGTGTCATTCATAGGTCGGCGAAAGTCAAAGTGACATTAAATGTCACCTATCTTAGCTTAGGAGTGCCTTAACATTTAGGAAAAGTTGGTGAAGATGGGCATTAATTTCATGCATATGATTTAACAAAAATAATAAATCTTAAGTATTTACAATGATATTAAAAATTGTTATATGCCATGATAACTAACGTACATGATACAACAGGTATTGTTGACGCAGCAAGGACATTTTAAACCTATGTTAATCTTAAAAAACGTTACGAAGTAACTACATAGGTTAAAGTTTGCTCTTCTAATAGGCACGGCTCCAACCAAGCAAATAAGTTGTCATTTAAATAATCACTTTCAATCTATGTCGTATGATATATTTCATAACGGTAGTCAGCGCGCGGTTCACTCGAGTTGTAGTAAAGCGCTCGCGTGCTTACGCCGCGCCGCCAGCGAGCCGACAGCGCGCCGACAGCGCGCCGACGGCGGGCCGTGCCTTTTAACGTGTAAATATGTAATACACTTTACAAGCACCGCAATGAGGGCTATGAAGTAGGAATTTTTCGCAAAGAGCGCTAGAGACTAATGTCTCACGTTTAAAAAAATATTCGCTTACGTTAACGAAATAGGCCTCGCCAGATGTGGACGCACCCTAAGAAGTAATATAATTTCCTTACGTTCCACTAATTGGAACAAAGTAATCGTCAGAAGAAACAAATTAAATTAAAACTATCTATTATGCAGAAACAAAAAAAGCGAATAATGTAACAATAATATTATCCAAACTTATTTTAACACTAAATTAATGTAAACTACTTATAACACGACATCATACACTAATATATCAAACACTAAATCTTACTAGTGACACTATAAAGTAACAGTTATAGAAACGTCCAGTTTAACAGTTGAAATAGTATAGCTGGGCCAGTACTTTGACGAAGTACTATTTACGCGAAATGGGAACAAAGTCCAATGAGGTAGAATAGTCCAAGATAGGTAACATTTACACCGTCGGGATCTCATCAACAGTATCTAATGTATTTACAAGCATTAAACAGATGCATTAGGAAAACAACTAAATATATAAGTATTAACGTATACATACGATCTGTTATACAATTTTAGACTTTAAACAGTCATTCATAGTTATATTATAGATATAAACATTATTTATATATAAATAACAAAAATATATAGATGAGTATATAATAATAACTTATTGTAACTACCTATACCTATAATACTCTACAGTGAACAAACATACAACAATAATGTATTATGTAACATTTCTTCTGTTCTATACACACACTGATCCTTGATGTGTGTGTGTGTGTGTATTGCCGTAATTATTCCTTTTATTGTCAAGTAGGTATGTATGTATAAATTTACAACAACATTATTAAATCAACTAAAAATCGCGGGTTACTCACGTGAATATACTGAAAAGATCTACTAGTTTCGAACCACTCAGTATATTCAAGTAACCCGCGATTTTTAGTTAATTTAGTATGTCACGATAGTTATTAAAAAACATAATGAAAAAACCTGAATTAATACACAGTAACTAAATAAAATTAAATGATGCAATAAGACAGAACAGAACAAGTTTTAGTTTATAATAATAAACATAGCAATGTTTCTCATTGAGAAGTAACAACGAACGTTATGTACTAGGGACCGACTACCTACATACGTACCTGCATTACGGACACGGACAGTGACCGTACGGTGTTATTTATCTACAGTACCTGTACATAACATGGTTACAGGGTATAATTTTTTGCTTGAATGCCGGGTACATACGATACAATAGAAAATATATTGTGTGTCGTGTGAACCCGCGTCTTGGCACACGACGACTTAATAGTTAAATCATTATAATTACTTTACAACGATGACTTGAACAGTGTAATATTTACTGTATAATACAACTAATAATCTATATCTGATAGTTTTCCAGAGGTAAAATAATTTCTTAGACTTTATTTTCAAACAAGAACTACTATTATCTTTAAAGATCCTACACTTTCACAGTATGCTGTAATTTAATAAAATTGGTACGTAGGATATATTCCCCTACCTGCACAGGTAACACCACATACAGACTTCATTGGAATACAAACATATTATTATAATAAAGTTTACAATACAAAATACCACCATCGTCACTTGAATGCACAACGTAGCACATTCGCAGTCGCGGCTACGCGACGCGTAGTTACTTTCTATCGCTACGAGCTACGGCGTAGCACTTTCCTTCCGCGTAGTGACAGCGTAGCGTTGCGCGCTACGTTGCTACGAATGGACTAGGGCGCAGTGGTGGTAGGTGTCGTCGCGTCGGTGGCGGTGGCGGAGGGTGGCAGGTAGTGCCAGTAGGGCGGCGCGTCCCCGGCCTGCGCCTGGCACGCCGCCGCCAGCCCCGCCCAGCTGAACCGATACGCGTACCGCTTGCCGTGCACCTGTCGATGCCATCAATGAATTTAATGTCGTGAAATCTGCCACATATTGTAAGATGCTATTTTAAAGTTTATGATACTCCTACTAAAAAAATAAAGGCAACGTTTGTAAATATGTACATAGGTATTAGTAGGTATTATTAGGTATGTGTAGATGCTTGTTACTTTTAAGCAGATCTTAAACAAAATGACACAGAGATATACAATAATGATCTGGAATAACACGAAGGCAACTTTAAGTCAAGACATTTGAGATAAAAAACATATTACAGGTATGACCAGACCATATTGTCTGGAAACCATTTTGCTAGCTGATAAATTTTATAAATGGATAGCGATTGTAACATGATATATGTCAGCAAAGCAAAGCATCTGAGTCAGCAAAGCTGTTGGCGACGACTTTCTACCCTGATGATTCTGAAAACACAGATGACTCCGGCCACACTGACCTTCGAAAACTAACGGATGGGAGGAGCCTTAATGAAATAATAGAACTTTCGGAGAATGACCCTCTCTTCTCTCAGGCTGAGGTAGATTTAGTGCTTAATGCACTGAATCCCAAAAAAGCCCCTGGCGCTGACGGCCTGACGGCTGACATCTGCGCAGTAGCTATCCAGTGTGAAAGGGAGGTGTTCTTAGCCATAGCGAATACATGCTTAGAACAGGCATACTTCCCAACACAGTGGAAATCTGCGCACATCATAGTTCTCCGGAAACAGGGCAAGGAGGACTACACCCATCCAAAGTCATATCGACCAATTGGACTACTATCCGTATTTGGCAAAATAATTGAAAAATTGATGATAGGAAGAATCCAATGGCACATCCTTCCAACTCTGCATAAAAACCAGTATGGATTCCTACCTCAACGAGGAACAGAAGATGCTCTCTATGATCTGGTAGAACAAGTAAAAGCGGAAATCGACGCCAAAAAGATCGTTGTATTGGTATCGCTAGACATAGAGGGTGCCTTTGATAACGCCTGGTGGCCCTCTCTGAAACAACAATTAATCGCAAGGAAGTGTCCTAGAAACCTGTACGCCCTGGTAGACTCGTACCTCAGTGAGCGGAAAATCAAGGTTAATTATGCCGGAGCTAGTAGCGAAAAGGCGACAAACAAAGGTTGCGTCCAAGGGTCCGTAGTGGGACCAACTTTCTGGAACCTTATCCTTGATTCGTTACTTCACAGACTCACAAGTGAGGGGGTTTATTGCCAGGCGTTCGCGGACGACGTGGTTCTCTTGTTCTCGAGCCATAATGTGAGCGTCTTGGAGCAGTCTGTAAATGGTGCCTTGGAACTGGTAACGGCCTGGGGGGCTAGTAACAAGCTTAAGTTCGGTGCAAGCAAAACCAATGCGATGCTACTAACAAGGAAGCTCGCCTTTAGCCCTCCGGACCTGTACATGTCGGGCACCAAGATAAACCTCGTAGAAGAGATAAAGCTCTTGGGCCTTACCATAGACAGAAAACTAACTTTTAAGTCCCATATATCCGCAACGTGCAAGAAAGCTGCAGACATCTATAAACAGCTATCACGAGCGGCAAAGGTGACATGGGGTCTGAACGGCGAGATAACGAGAACGATCTACGTCGCGGTCATTGAGCCAATTGTGCTTTACGCTGCGAATGTATGGGCCCCAGTGACGGAGCTGCAGTTGATTAAAAAACAACTAAATGCTCTCCAAAGGGGATTCGCACAAAAGATCTGTAGAGCTTATCGCACAGTGTCGCTCACGTCAGCAACAGTTTTGTCAGGTACAATCCCACTTGACCTAAGAATTCAGGAGAGTGCCAGTTTGTATCGAACCAAAAGGGGATTCTCTTTGGACTATCTGCCACCGGGAAGGGAGCTCGAAAGAGATGTGCCTTACCTGGACCAGCCACATCCCTCAAAGCTAATTTCAGTAAATTATGAGCTCCTGGAGAATGACGGCTCGGGATCTCCTCTCGCCAGCGTAGTTGCCGGTCCTCATATATATACAGATGGCAGCAGAATCGATGGAGGAGTCGGTTCTGCCTTAAGTTGGTGGGAGGGGGGCCGCGAGACGGCGTTTTCCACTTTTAGTCTGGACTCTGCCTGCACAGTTTTTCAATCCGAACTGTATGCACTGAATAGAGCCACCAAAATGGTGAAAGACAGTAAAGAGAGTAGAGTAAATATCATGAGTGACTCTAGATCCTCCCTCGATGTCTTAAAAAACCCCAAGGTGAGCCACCAGTTAGCCAAAGAAATAAAACAGTGTATTGAAAACATCAGAGAGCAGGGAAGAGAGGTTCGATTTTACTGGTTGAGAGCCCATGTTGGAACGGTTGGAAACGAGAGAGCAGATGAATTGGCTAAAGCCGCTGCCAAAACAAAAGACAACACCACGACAGGCTACTGTAGAGTACCCATGTCTTATGTCAAAAAGAAAATCAGAGATGAAACCATCCGAAAGTGGCAGGATAGATATACAACCTCCACTACTGGGCAGGTAACTAAATCGTTTCTCCCGGATATAATAGAGGCATATCGATTAGTGAGATCGACAAAGTTGACACCTGCCCAAGTACAAGCGTTGACTGGACATGGAGGAATCGCTGAGTACCTGCACCGATTTAAACTAACAGAAAGTGCAGGTTGCGAATGCGATCCAACTATCAGTGAGTCTGTATGGCATATCATTCTCGACTGTCCTCGTTTCCTGGCCGCCAGAACCAACCTAGAACATCGGATCGATGCAAGCTTGGATCCTGCTAAACTGAGTTCTATTTTGGCTGACAAAGCGAAAAGACCGCACTTCCTAGACTACATAGATAAAATTTTTCGCAGGGCGGCTGAAAGAAACAGCACCCTCAATAACAGGAGCCAAGCAGTGGTCAGCTTGGACAACCCGTCTAATTCCGCTGTAGCAGTGAGCGGGGTTCCCCTTGAAACGACGGCTGATCCGCGGATTACAATTAAGGAGCGGGAAATTCTCCTTTACGGTGAGCACGGTACCAAAGGAATACGTATTCGGGGAGTTGCTTTGTTCATGAGCACCAGCAGCGAAAGACTGGGGATCGCTTTCTGCAATACCGCTCACCAGAAATGGCTCACAATCTCGCCAGGCCTTGCCTCCCTGTTAAATGGCAGCACTTTCAAAACAAGCATGAGGCGCAAACTCTATGAAGCACTGCCAGAAACAAAGCTGGTCGGTCAAAGCTGTCGATTGTTGCGGACGCGCAATAAAACAATCGCAATGTTTTCTGGCAACAATACGACAACCTGTTTTGAACAGGCATGCAAGGTGCTGACCAGTATAGGTAAGTGGGGTAAAGTAGAGGGCATAGATTCTAGAGTTATCAGCGTGGATGCTGCTGTGGTGGCTTTCCGGCGGGGAGAGACAGCGGATCTCATGGGCTGTATTCAAGCTTCAGAACAGCATGAAGTCATTGTTTATGAGGACAGGGGTGAAGACCTCAGTTTCCTCAGAAAAAAGGTCCAGAGTTCACCAATCGCTGGCTCTTCAAGTGGTTCGGAGCGTCTGCAGCACAGGTATTCGGAACAAAGTGCTCTACAGCAACAACAACGAAACACCGAAAGACAAATAAAGAAACAAACTTCACGGACCAACATGTGGGCAATAACATCAGCCATATGTACAGCTGCGGGTCTCATTTCGTCGACTTTCAGAAGGAGTGAATCCGGCTCCACTCGCGGGGGAGGCGACAGTGCTCGGGTGCATCTTGCCCAGTCCAGGTCACCGCCAACCAAAGCCGCCATGGGTCACGTTTCTCCGCCGAAGTTTCGCCATGCCACCACTCCCAGAGACCACCTCATAAACGCCTTCCTCGAGTTTGTCGCAGTAATAGAGGCAACAAAACAAGTTAACTTGCGAACTTGCAAAACGATCCTGCAGGCATATCTGCAGGGTAACGAGCTGTTACTGAATGATAGACTCGAGGCTGCGGAGGCGGTCATATACGACAACAGTAAATCGAGAGTATTGAGAGGAGCTTCTATAAGTCGTAGTATGGCAGCTTACAACGCCACCGCAGGATTTGTGTCTCTGGATGAGAAGGAATCGGATAAACGGGGAGTTGTGAAATTTAAAACTCCTCCTGAAGACTCCTTAGTGGTAGTTGCCGGGTGCACCAGGATTATGTTGGAGGATCGGATCTTGGAAATGGTGGGATCCATTTCGGAGCCTGGGCCGGGCGGCGTGGACTTTGGGGGCTGGGATGCCCCGACATTTCACTGGACAAATGGAGTGCCGGGATGCGGCAAAACTACATGGATAATAAATGAATTCGAAGCGGAAAGGGATTTAATCGTCACCACAACAACTGAAGCAGCAAATGACCTCAGAGGCAAACTATCCTGCCGAATCGGAGGATTAGTCAAATCCAAAGTCCGAACAATGGCATCCATTTTAGTGAACGGATTAAAAGAGCAAGAGAGCTGCCACCGAATCATGGTTGATGAGGCTCTCATGAATCACTTTGGGGCCATTGTGATGGCGGCCCGAATAACTCGGGCCAAGGAAGTTCTGCTGATTGGTGACATAAATCAACTTCCCTTCATTGACCGAGACAACCTCTTCCCCCTCATTTACAACCGCCCTACGCACGTCGCGGCTATTAGCCAAGAACTTCTCTGCACTCACAGAAACCCTATGGATGTGGCATATGCTCTCAGTACTGTGTACAGTGGCATATATTCGTCCGCGTCGGGTGTGAGATCCCTTGAGTTAAAAAGCTTCTCAGGGTCGCGAATACCCAAATCTCCTCCGAACACGTTATACCTGGTACACACTCAGGTAGAAAAGGAATCCCTTAAAAACCAGGGATACGGATCGGGTGTGGGATCACGCGTACTCACAATACACGAGGCTCAGGGGCTTTCGTACGCGGCAGTGGTTGTTGTGAATACAGCGGAGAAGAAACAGCGGATACACGACAGTGTATCGCACGCCGTGGTAGCTATATCCCGTCACACAAACAGCTGTGTTTACTACACGAATATCAGTGACGACGCGATCAGCAAATTAATCAGACGAGCGGTGGGTGAGAGTGAGCGGGGGATCCTGGACTATAACTTGAAAATGGCTATCAGCAACAGGGACATGGCGGTAGTGGGCGCTCTTTTGGGTGGGGAGGGCTCGCTGTAAGCTTAAATTGTGATGCAAGCGTGACATTAATATACCTCTATATTTGTGTGTGTTTAATAATGTTAAAATGTAGTAAATATAATGTAACGTAATGTAAATTTTATCAATAAGACTGACAAAATCCATTGGCACTACTGGAATCGGCTTACTGCTGCGTGAGCAGACGTCATGCATTCTTAAATGTTCTACAGTCGGTGGCGCTGTGGACTGGGTCGCTCCGTTCCCTACGAAATGGTTGATCGGATCGATTGCTGGCCCTCACGTCATGCTCGTGAACGGGCGCCTTCTGCTGGAGCAGGTCGGCTCGCTCATCGCGCGTGTGGGCCGATCCAGTAAGGTTAATGTAAATGTAATAAAACATGTATTGTGTATATATAAATATTAGATTTAGACACAACCTTCTTTGTGAAAAAAAAAAAAATGTGGTTAATGTAGCACGTAAGATTTTTGTAACAAGTAATTTTGACTGTAAATTAAAAGAAAATGTAATGGAATGACAAGGGCACGGACAAGAGTCCGTGGAGAATAAGAAATGTAAGATTAAAAAAAAAAAAAAAAAACATGATATATGTATTATATTGTATTTACGTTACTTACATTAAGTATACCTAGTCTTTAATATATCAACCAGATGGCGATATATTACAGAAGAGTCAAATTAAAAGTACCCTTAACCGACGAGCATGCATGAATAACGACTGTTGATGAAGCGAAAGAGGTATGTAAGAATCGTAGCAATTAGCGTTGCATAGTCTCTGCCTACTCCCATGGGAGACGGCGTAAGGTTATGTACGAATATGCCCAAGTGGTCACCGGTGACCGCTCTACACTAACTGCATTATAGACTTTATTTCCAATGTTTAGAGACTACTTTTGTACGAACAAATTTAGGGGATGATTTTCAACAATTTTCGACGGGTTAATGTATGTATGTATGTATACCTTGCTCATGATGTTCTTGTCGTAGTAATATCGCAGCGCGCGCGACAGCTTGTCGTAGTTCATGTTGGGCTTCTGTTTGCGCCGGCCCCAGCGCCGCGCCACCTCGTCCGGGTCTGACAGGCGGAACTCTCCTTCATTCGGAGGACCCTGGACATATTAATGACAATAAATTATTATAAGAACTATTTACTCATATCATACCGTTTGAGGCAGTAGGTTTGTCTTGTAAAAGCAATAGATCTATTACATATGAGGTATGTGGTACATGATTTTAGAGAAGCGCGCCATCTATATGCATCTTATTTGAATTATCATCGTATATGACGTCAATTATCTGTCCCCGCCGTACTATATAGGGAGTGAAAAGTAATATCTTGCAAGTAGACCATCCCTGTTGAAAATTGGTGTTGCATTGCATTACCTCCCAGCAGATCCCGGGCGCCCCGGCCGCGAGCTCCTCCAGCAGGAACTGCCACAGCTGCACCTGTCCGCCGGCCGCGCGCGCACACCCGCTCAGCGCGCCGTACGGGTCTGCAATAGGCACACATGACTCATTAATACATACACACTATAGACTAAAAATACCTAAGTTCAAGTGTTACATTTTACTTCAGTTTTTAAACTAAATTGACTTAATTAAAACAAGTAACACTTGAAAATTTTGATAAATAAGGTCAGGTCCTAGGGGGTCCTAGTCTGCTGCAATCGGCTGATCAATGCCATACAAATGAATGTTGTAACTTGTACTTGTACTGATAATATAAGAACTTTAAACACAACACAAAATAGGTACACTGATATACCTACATGATTATATGTAACCTCATTTAGCATTATATATGGACAAAAATTTTCGTCCAGGTGTTACTTCTACTATCTATAGTATCTACTGCAGATACTCGCGAAATCATATCGATCACTTAATCGATTAGTCCCTAATTACTTATTACTACCAAGGTTATTGATAACTGCTGTAGTAAAATCTTGTGACTATGCAAAAAATGTGACTTAGAAGTAGAACATGGCCTACAATATTTTTTTATATTAATAACGTTGCCCCACACTAGGATTTTCTCCTGTGTCATGGGTGCGTATACAAACATACAAGTTAACACACTCCTGACACCCAGACCCGGAACAACAATCTGTGGAACATGCAAAGAATTGTTCCGTTTGAAAATCGAACCTGCGACAAGTTTTTTTATCTCCGAGCGGACGGACCACCTGATGGTAAGCGATCAGCGCCGCCCATGGACACCCGCAACACCAGAAGACTCACAGGTGCGTTGCCGGCCTTTTAAAAAGGAATACGTTCATTTCTTCTTTCTTTTGATTTCTTTTGATCGATTACTTATGTTAAGAAATTTGTTTACATTTTCTCAATTGGATAATTTATTATTGTGCTATTGAATTGTGGGAAATATTGATCGGCAGACTCTGGGATTAATGTAATGTAAGTAAGTGATTAAGTAATTAAATAAATGTGGTCCTAGCTTCACCTACACTGACGGACTGACTGACATACTATTATTTATTTTGTATTTGTTGACGTTTTAAAAGTACCAAATTATGGTTTAATTGAAATAAATGCTTTGACTTTGTCCCTACCGTAAGGACAAAGATATGAATAATAAACACTAATATTACAAGGAGGAAAGATTTGGTTTTTTGTTTGTTTGAATTGAATAGGGTTCGAAACTGCATACGATCCACCTGGTGCCATTTGATCGTCGACTTCGGGGATACGTGTATTTAATAATGGAAAAAATAATTTTAATATAACTCTAAAGGATGAAAGACTACCATAAAGTTTATTATTCTCTTTGGCTTTTTTGTGTTAGATTGCCTTCTAGGGCGTCATACTTAGAATGTAGCACAGATAACAAAACCATAATATGTATTAATAAATAAATATATAGGTAAATAAAAATTTTGAAAATAGTAAGTATATTCATTTTATTTTTTATTGCAGCTGTTAAAAAAGTAATTATGTAATAATGGTATAATAAACAAAAACAAGAAACTATCTACTATATACTACTATACTACTATAAAAAATTATGACAAGTTTCTTGTGAAATGAATCCAATATTTTTCACAATTTCCCTTACTTATTAAATATTCTTTGACAAAAATTCAAAAGTTTCTTGTCAAACGAAACATACATTTCTCAAAAATATTCAAAAGCAATAATTATGATTACATGATTTACGATTAATTGTATATATTATTTATATTTTTGCTGTTTTTTACTTAATGCCCAAATCGTGTGCATGTCGCTGTGCCCGCCAAACCGGTGAGTTTACTAATTACATAATACATTGGTTTTTTTTTAAGGGGGGAAAATCATGGAATGACTGCTCCCGCCTATAATTCATTGGTTGGAATACATTGCTGGATATTTATATAGTTATTTTATAATTTATTATACATTGAATATGACTTCAAAAACCAAATACTTATGTAACTACCCTCATAAGATGCTTGAAAATAAATATGACAAACATGAAAAATTCGTAATAATGCATTACGAAAGATAAACAAAGTTCGTGAAGATTTAAATATGTGTAGGCAGACATGCTGCAAAAGTTACAAAGTTATAAGTAGTCAGGACTGTCTGAACGTTATTATATCTAAGAAACATTGATTTCACATTTTTTATTTAATTTCAGATGTGCCTGCGCATCGGTTCCCAAACGCCGAACAAATTCCCTAATCAGTTCAGGGCTTGGGTGGAACTTCTTAGCGGGATATTACAATTAGTCACGGACTACAGAAATAAATTAGTCTGTGACTAACATTTTACTACCGGGACTTGTAACCATTTATCCCGGGTAAACAAATCAGCAATTCCGAGCCTACATTTACCTGGTCAGTCATTAATAAAATTCCATTATGGTAGAGATTAGGTAACCATTTATCATAACACCAATCCTTTTTCGTCCAAAGAGACAGGAGTATAGATATACCTATATTAATTATATACTAAGAACGTATGTGACAGTAGTTACAGTCAATATATTTTGTGGATTTTTTCAGGTTCAGCGTTTCGGCACCTGGTATTGAAAGAGAAACATTTTATAATGAAGGTAAAGTAAAAACATTGGTAAAATTATAATCATTAAAACATAATAAAATACTAGCGTCTGCCAGCAACTTTTCCCGTCTAGAATATTGACTTTAGACGTTTCTTTGTTTCCTGTTCCAATACGAACAAACAAACAAACTCTTATTTATTTATAGAGGTGAAACAAATACATAATTCTGCACAAAATCGTATAACCATAGAGAAAGCACGAGAATGTGTGATTTGTACACAACATTAACAGTCTACAAATGCCTACTGCTGAGCAAAGGCCTCTTCTCACACGGAGAAGGTTTGAGCATTAATCGCCACGCTCAATTGCTCATTGCAGGTTGGCAATATCAAACTTATAATTAGAAATTATAAGTCCAGGTTTCCTCATGTTTTCCTTCACCGTTTTTCAGTGGTTTCTGAATAATCTTAGAAAGTACATATAACTCGGAAAAAGTCACATTGGTACTTGCCGTTGGTTCAAAGTTTTAAGCCCGCGCCCTCATGCATGAGAAGCAGGCGTCTTAAACCTCCGGGCCACCACGACATTTGTACACGTTGTAAGCAAAATGTGGACACAGTTTTGATTAACTATTGTGTATTTAGTAAAGCTTGTAGTGTAGATGGTGTAAAGTAATAGGTGCACAATTACATAACAGCACCGAAACATGAATCAAACGAATGGACGGAAACATGACGTGTGCTGCATTTAGCTCCGGGTATCATTGTTGATTTATTTTATTAAAAACGGTACTCATTAGATTAATCTATTATACCTACTAATTATGAAAAAACAAATATTATAATACAAACAAAGATACCGTATTTTATTGAGTGTTTATACAACATAGAATGTGTCATTGGAGTTACGTTTTTCTTAGTAATTGTACCTCTATATTTAAACCCAAGTAATCTTATGTCTTGTAAGCGGTTAAGTACACAAGTCACAAGCATGTGCTGACGTGGAAGTGTAGCAGACAGCCACCAGACACATGCACATTCGCTGGAAATATATTTAATTAATACGTAAATTACCGTTTGTTGAGTGTAAGTAGGTTGAGAGTGGGAAATGCAACTAGAGACACGTGCAACAAATTGTTATAAAAAATACTACATTTACCTGATACGATATTGCCACGTGATTTTGTTTAATAAGAAGTACTAATTAAACCACTTTTAAAATTATCTAGATGCTACTGACCATGGTGAAGGAATACATCGTGACGAAAACTTTTTTTTGACGGTGGAAAATCATCGAATGACTGCTCCCGCCCGGGTGAGGCGGGAGGGAGTGTCAGACTCTTACTGACTAAAAACCACCCCGTTCCTTCTCCTGCACTTTGAGCCGGAGCTCCGACAACCCGTTAAGTTTTCCGCGGCTCCGTATCAGCATCAGCCCTGTTGTGCCCCATCTGTGGTGGTCTGATGGCTATCGTGAGGAAACCTGGGCTAATAATTTCTAATTATAAGTTTGAAATCGCCAGACCGCATTGAGCAAGCGTGGTGATTAATGCTCAAACCTTCTAAGTGCGAGAAGAGGCCTTCGGTCAGCAGTGGCTTATAGGCTGTTGATGGTGAATTAAACCAATCTATTCTTTATGTTATCTAGGCTTTAATGAAAACCTAAAACACATTGTTTTATATAACCATGAGTTAGTATGACTCGTATTTATTTTTACATTAGTTATAGTTTACATTGCAGTGTTTTTGGTATATAATGATTAAACTAAATACGTATATAGACACGAGTAATATAATGAGTGATGAGATACATGTGTAGTTCGGTAAATGTTACAAAAGTTTTGTCACATTCTAGCAAGAGCGTGTTTACATTACATCACTAGATACATAGACACGTGGCCGCGCCCGCCGCGTAATTTATTACTACTACAATTGTTACGTATTCACTTCCACTAGAACTACTTACTGATGACACTTATCCTTATATATACACTTTTTTCGAAAATACAAATTGACAAAATATTTTTTTAAATTTTAATCGTTTTTGTCTTCGTGTTATTCTTCAGTCTGGAGCAGTCGATTACAACTCTTATGACATAAAAGTAACGTTTAATTCCTTACTTTTATTAAAATAGAACTTGTTGTTTACCGCCACCTGCCGGCGTTTTTCGGGAGTGTTCAGTTTACACCCTTCATATTATAGTCTGCTAATAAGTTAGTTGACAGGTAACCAAATTCAATACTTTTATTGAAATGTCAAAAACGATTCTTTTCTATGAATTTTGTATTGGATCGCAACTATCCGCTCCAGAACGCTCCAATATAAAATATATTGGAGCGTCAAATAGCATACTTATTTCCCCAAAATTAGCGAGAAAAAATCCAAAAGCAGATAAATTGACAAATTAATGGATGAGAGTATGATTATTTTTTAATTATTTATTACATTGAAAAGTTGAAACAATTTATTTTAAACCTAGGAAACTAGATAATT